AACGATTAACACTTTCTCTCTCCCTCTTTCCTCGCCTTCCCAACTTCTCCCTTTCTCTCGTGCTCGGTCGCCGGACGAGAGAAAGAGGAGCACACCTTGAACCACGTGAACGCAGATTCGGCTGAGAGAATGATCGTAGATGATGATTGAGACAGGTCAAACGGAAAGCAGACGCAATTCGGTGGACAATTAGGGCGGCGCGTGTCGGAGGACACGTCGACGGTATCGGAACCGTCGAGATTCTCTCGTCGACATTTAGGATAATTCTGTGTATGGGTAAAGGGGGGAACCTGCAAAAGAATCTTCTCGATCGTTACACACTCTTTCGTACTCTTTCCTCGATCGATACGGCCGGTGATCTCGTCCCTCGTCCCCTAGACTTGTCATCGGCCCGTCGACTTCTTTGTCCGTCTACCGGCCGCGCGCACCTGTAATCAGAAGCTCGCCGGCAAAGCAATCGAACACCTTCGAATAATGTTAATAACAAGCGTCGCGTCGCTCGCGTGTCCGCGGGACTAGCGAACGGCTGTCGCTCTGCGACTTCAATCATCTGTCGTGTCGACGAGTTCGGACCGGTTCGTATGCGTGTACGTCTATGTATGCATGTATATGTGTGTATGTACGTGTGCTCGTTTCGGTGTGCACGTTTGTGTACGTGTTCGAAGAATCGCGGCACATCCCGAGGGTACATCCATATATAGTTTTAAAGCTCTCCTTCACGCGCTCGTTCCGGACGCGTGATATCCGTAGCGCCGTCCGAACGAGCGCGGAGAGGACATCTCCACAGGCAGAATGTACAAGACACAGTGTCAGTGTGTATGTGTCTGCGCGTGTGTCTGCGTGTTCGTGTGCTACATTCAACGAATTTGTTTGCTTGGTAATTGTAAACGTAAATATCGAGACATACATACATATACATACATATACATACATACATATATATGTATATAGATGCATATATATGTACATATATGTATATGTATGTATGTACATATATTTAATGTAGATGTAGATATATACGTGTATGTATGAATATATAGAAACGTATGCGCAATATAAGAACACTGCAACGCTTGAAGACATCGATGAACGAAAAGCCGTAAACAGGAGACGGGGATGGAGTTTAATTTCACCGATCGAATGATCGAACGTTTAATCTCAGGTTTAACTTGTATCCGTTTCTACACGTTTCTCCGTCCCCGCCTCCAAGCACGTATCAACAGCTGCCTTCTAAAGATATAATAAATAATTAACATAATTGACGAGAATCGGGCGTGGTCAGACGATCGTTTTACCTACCTACTGCACGATCCACGAGGATTGACAGTCGACCACACCGCGACTCGTCGCCGAAATTCCAAAGAGAAGCTGTACAGAACAGAGACAGACACCGCGGCGCGACGTGTTTCGGCGGCGCGGCGGTTGCTAGCGCGCCGCGACGACACTATTCTACAGCCACGAACAGGACACAGCCGGTCTAAATCGCTTGCGTTAAACTAATATACCTAAGATTCTTGAGCCGCAGATCGCTAGGAACGATGTTAGAGGAGCGACTCCTTGGTCAACGAGTCGTTTGTTAAGCCTTTGATCGCTGATATCGATTCCGGACCACCGGTCAGCGTTCAACGATAGCGTGACGGTGTAGAGGTTGAAACTTTATAGAATTTTATACCAGTTTTGAGTATTTCTCGTGCAACGAAAGTGTTGATTACGAAATTATTGAGACTGTATTACAGATTTATATGGTTTAAGCGAATTAAGTTTCCTTGAAAGAAATATAATTTTGTAATTCGAAGCTATCTTTTATCGCAGTTTCAACGGAACTGATGAAAATCCATTGAGAATCTGCACTGAAATCGAAATCAAAGTTTCGTTTCCACATAACCCAGGTTTCCATAAGAATCCCCTAACTACTGATCGGCAATGACTCGCCATCCCGGATTACCTCGATCAGCTTATCAAAGGATTAACACATAATTCTTCATTAACACGGTTCGGAGATCGATCTTCGCCCGGCCCGACGAACACTGTGTTTCGTCGGAGTCCGAACAGCTCAGGAAACTCGTGCAAACGTTCCTCTAATGATCACGCATCGCTACTACGCAGAAAACAGTCTCTACGATCTAGCGCAACGGGAGACGAGCAGAGGATCCACTCGTGACTATAACGGGAGCAGAATCGAAAGTACACAACCAACCCGTCCGTCCGAGCAACCCCAATTCGCGAACAGATCGGACGAAACGATTCTCGAAGAATAGTCACGTGGATCTCTCTCTCTGTCCCCGGTCTAAAGCACAACTTCTTCTAAAAGAGTCAATGTGCTGTGTGTCTCGTTGTTGTTGGTAATCGTAAGTGTCTCTGGCTGATCACGCCGCTGTCTCGTTCTTCTTGCCAGAACCTCTCACTCCCTCTCTCTTCCTTTTTCTCCCCCTTTCTCACCCTCAGTCACTCTCTCGAATACTTGTACTCACATTTCGCCGAAGGCTTGAAACGATAATCCCCGCGGCGGAATACGGTTCGACGTCCTCTCGACCGGTGAGAATCGAGAGCGAATCGCGATTACGGTTACTAGAACATCGCTGGAAGGAATTTAGAAGAATCTTTCCTCTCTTCGGACAAGAAAACAAAAGAGGAACGAGTAGAAAAATTCTTAGAGGCGACGTAAACGTATCAGTATTCGGGTGTTTCCGTTGGTCGACGTTGATCGCTCCCGCGCGAACGTTTCTTTTTTCTTTTTAGGGGATGAAACCGAAAGAAAAAGAAATGCAGGTGGGGTATAGGGGCAGGAAGAAGAAGAAGAAGAAGAAGAAGAAGAAGAAGAAGAAGAAGAAGAAGAAGGGTGTTAATTTGCTGGGTGTTCGGACCTGTCCCCGTCGCCGCTACCCTCGCCGTCGCTGCTCGCGGAGCTCGGCTGACGTCCGCTCCTCCCGCTGGCAGTGTCCTCCGGCAACACCTCCTCGCTCCTATGAACTGTAAAGGAGGACTTGCCCTTCTTCCCGAATCCTAGCCTCCGTTTTCGTCCTTCGTCGCCCACGCATGTACCACCAACAGACGCACGTGGTATGTTATGTTTTTTGCGTGAGGTGATCACAGTAGTAGTAGTAGAGTAGTAGTAGTAGTAGTAGTAGTAGTAGTAGTAGTAGTAGTAGAGTAGTAGTATTTTTTTCGTGGTTGTTTTGTGATTGTAGCAAGTAGTAGTGGTAGCAGTAGTAAAAGTAGTAGAAGTAGAAGTAGCGGTGATGTTTAAAGTAGCAGATGTTGGTATTCGCAGGCAGAGTAGTTGACAGTGTTGTTTTTCGTGTGTACACAGCATACGGAGTTGTACGAGTATGTAGTTGAGTGTGTTGTCGCCCTCAGTGAAGTGGTGTGTTGTCGTTGT